GATTCTTGGTTGTAATCCTATCCCCTTTGCCCTCCAGAATATTATATTCCATGCCCTGCAGTCCTTTAATGTAGAAGCTGCTAAATCTTGTGTTATCCTGACTGTGTTTCCACAATACTTGAATTGTTTCTTTCTGGCTGCCTGTAATATTTTCTCTTTGACCTGGGAATTCTGGAATTTGGCTACAATATTCCTAGGAGTTTTCCTTTGGGATCTCTTTCAGGAGGTGATCTGTGGATTCTTTCAATTTCTATTTTGCCCTCTGGTTCTAAAATATCAGGGCAGTTTTCCTTGATAATTTCTTGAAAGATGATGTCCAGGCTCTTTTTTTGATCATGGTTTTCAGATAGTCCAATACTTTTTAAATTCTCTCTCCTGGATCTATTTTCCAGGTCAGTTGTTTTTCCAATGAGATATTTCACATTCTCTTCTATTTTTTCATTTTTTTGGATTAGTTTTACAATTCCTTGATTTCTCTAATAGTCACTATCTTCCAATTGCTCTATTCTAATTTTTAAGGAAGTATTTTTGGACTTCCTTTTCCATTTGGCCAATTTTGCTTTTTAGGGCATTTTTCTCCTCATTGGCTTTTTGGACCTCTTTTACCACTTGGATTAGGTTATTTTTTAAGGTGTTATTTTCTTCAATATTTTTTGGGTCTCCTTTAGCATCACGCTCAGTTTTTCCTCTACTTCTCTTACTTGCTTCTAAAATCCTTTTTGAGCTCTTCCAAGGCCTGGGACTAATTCATATTTTTCTTGGAGGCTTTGAATGTAGGAGCTTTGGCTTCCTTGTCTTCTTCTGGTTGTATGTTTTGGTCTTCTTTGTCACCAAAGTAAGATTCTATAGTCTGACTTTTTTTGCACTGCTTGCTCATAATCCTGGCCAATTACTTGAGTTATAAACTCTTGATTAAGGTAGGGGTCTGTTTTCAGTGTGGAGAATGTACTGTCCCAAGTTTCAGGGATTTTGTGCAGCTGTTTTCAGAGATACGTGTAGGGACCTGTAAATTTTCAGTTTTTCCAAGGTGCTATGATCAAGGGCAAGGTGTTTACTGCTTTTCTGTCGTGTGCTCTAGTCTATGAGTGACCACAAGCACTCTTTTCTGTCTTGGAACTGTGAGGAGGATTTCTCTCCACAGCCACTACAAGCTCCACCATGTCAGCACTCCTCCTCGCCCCAGGACCACCACACAGAACTGTGACCCAGATCCAAGCACGGGCAAAGCAAGAGAATCCTGCACCAGCAGAGAGATCCCTGCAGTCCCCCCTGATCAGCCACTTGATTCACCCTCAGTCTGTGGGCCAGAAGCTCAGGAGGCAGCCGTCACCCTGGGGCCAAGCTCAGGGAATGGGGCTGGGACCCTTTTCTTCTCTCTCAGCGCAGAAACAGACTTTTCCCACTGACCTAGGTTGTCTTTGGCATTCATGGGTTGAGAAGTCTGAAAACTGCCACAGCTGCCTGCGATTCAGTCTTCTGAGGCCTGCTCCAGGTTAGCTGTGGCCTGCATGCCCACGCCCAACTGCGTTCCTCTCCCAGCCCTGTGCGAAATACCTTTCTGATCAACCATCCAGGTTGTGTTGGGCTGTAAATTTGTTTCACTCTGTCTTTCTGTGGGTTCTGCTGCTTTAGAATTTATTTAGAGCCATTTTTATAGGTATTTGGAGGGGTTTGGGGGAGAGCTCAAGCAAATCACTGCTTTTACTCTGCCATCTTGACTCTACCCCCTTATTTTTTAAAAATATATAATAATTATGTAACTTTTTTCTTTTTTTCTTCCCTCTGACAGTTGAGGAGAACAATGACACTCTTTATGAGCTCTTTATGTAAGGAAAATTAGTCTGACAGAGGTATTGATTGGATAAGGGAGAGAGTGGAGGTAGGAAGGTTTATTAGGAGGTCACCACAGTAGTCTAGCAAGGTGTTAGTGGAGTGGGTCCTTTACAAAGGTGATGGTAGTGAGAATAGAAAGGAAGGTAAAGATGCGAGGGAGTTAACAAGATTCAATAATTGGGTGAACATGAGAATTTTTAAAAAGGGTGAAATGTAGTACCAAAATTTTGAACATGAGAAACTGTTAATAATGGTGCCACCAACAAAAATCCTAATATCAGAATGAGAGGTATGCTTTTAGTGAATGATCGTTCATTTTGGGATGTTGAACTTGAGGTCCTCTGGTTAATTGTAGTTGTGTGAATGGAGTTCAGAGGAGTGGGTCAGGATTGTAGATATAAACTTTGAATTCATCTGAATACAGGTATATTTGGAACCCTGGGAGTGAATGATATGGACAAAAGACAATATGTAGTATGAAAAGAGAAGAAGGAGCAAGAACTAGCTACAGAGTGGGGAACCTACAGCCTCGAGGTCATATGTGGCCCTCTAGGTCCTCATGTGGGGCCCTTTGACTGAATCCAAACTTCACAGAACAAATCCCCTTAATAAAAGGATTTGTTCTGTAAAACTTGGGCTCAAAATGCCACACCCAAGGGCCTAGAAGGCCACATGTGGTCTCAAAGCTGCAGGTTCCCCACCCCGATAGAAGATAGAAGCATCAGTCTAAAGGTATTAACAAAAAGCTGAAAAGTCAATGAAAAAGTCTAGAGAGGAGAGGATAAAGAGGTAAAGTCAGTAGAATCTAGCATTTCACCATGTGGGATAGGGCTTGATGCTATGGGATCAACTGATATTTTTGAAATTGCTTTATGAGTGGCTAGGTGGTGCAGTGGATAGAGTACCGGCCCTGGAGTCAGGAGGACCTGAGTTCAAATCCAGCCTCAGACACATAATACTTCCTAGCTGTGTGACTCTGGGCAAGTCACTTAACCCCAATTGCCCCACCAAAAAGCAAAAATAAATAAATAAATCAATCAAGTAGCAGACTGAAGGGGATGAGCAATTCTATGTAGCCTCATTACAGATATGTGTATGGAAGGAATGGAGAACGTATTCTTAACACTGTCAAAAATTTAACCATAATTACTTATTCTTTGTATCTGTCTCCCTTGCTATTCAAGTTTGTCCTGGACAAACTTGTTTTTTTTTTCCTGGACCTCTTTGCTTTACGAACAACCCAGGAGTTAACAAGGAGATAATTGTCAGATAGGACAGACTAGAGAAATACACAAGGCATATCTAATCACATTGGATGAAATTAGTTTGGTTATTACTTTTGCATAATTTTAATCCTGCATAGTGCTTAAGCCCCAAACCTGTAAGTATGGTAACATGATATTTTTCACACTGAACAAAGAAACAAATCAAGTTACCAATGTTTCCTTTATAAATGCTGCTTGAAAAGAAATGGGAGCTCTATCAGAAGTTTCTTCATTTATAGTAATTATTAGGGAAAATGAAGATGGGGAAGAAGTGGGAGAAAATTACAAACCTGCTCAGTGGTATACTAACAAATATGTGTTTGTTTCCAGGGAATCCTGCCAACAACAGCAGGGACTGTTTTTTATTTTTTACTTTTGAAAAAAAAAGTACAAAATAATGCCTGTAATTTCAAGTACAATTTTCCAATAGCCCTACTAACATAATAACAGTCTGATTGCTTTTCTTTCACCACAACTGCAACCTGACAGATGTGCTACAGTCTCCATTGCCATTCATTTCACCTCTACACTTTAAAAATAAAGACAGTAGATTTGATCCTTTTAGATGTTCCCCAGAAGGTCTAGCTGTTGGTGCTACCAGTTTACAGATTAGATTGTTATCATAGTGTGTCATTAAATTCTATTTCCACACATCTGGCAAGACCATTTTTTCCCCCTACGGAGATGGTTTGTTACTGCGTCTGATACTCATTTTCAGTCTTCTGATTCCATTCTTCATTGTGTCCAAGTTCTTTTTACCTCATTTATAGTGGCCTCCCTGTCTGATGTACCAGACTACTTCTCTGCCTATAGTTGTCTGAGCCATTATCTTCAGTATCAAGCTGTCACTAATACAAACTTGTCCTTACCAAAAACTTCCTTGTTTTCATGGGGTTATAGATGCAGAGACAGAAGGAATCTTATGTGTTAGCTAGTTTATGTCTTTTGTTTTATAGATAGGAAACTGAGACCCAGAGAAGTTAAGTGTCAAGCCAAGGGCCACACAGGTCGGAAATGGTAGCATTCCCATTTTAGAGATGAGGAAATTGAAGCCCAGAAAGATCAACTGACTTGCTGATGGATGGCCATAGAGATACCAAGTGCCAGAGCCAAGTCAGAGCTTATTTACATGATATATAACAGCATAAAATGGTATGTGACCAAGAAAAAATAATTTCCTGCCCCAGGCCAAAAGCCCCTTGTTGTATTTATTATTACTATGTTTAATTCAATAAGCATACCCTGTAAGAAATGAATTGGGACATTTCATTTAGCATTTGCTGTAGTGGGATTTAACCTAGATCTATTTTCAGCCAGTGCATAGGGGTATGAAAAAGTAAAAGTAAGGCAACACTCCCACAATTTCACTGCAGAAAACGAGCATGATCTCCCAGCATTCAAAAGTGACTCTGAACCCTTCCCATCTATCCCCAACTTCCACAATAGCTTTGGTGTATAGAGAACTCTGACATATCTCAACAGAATGGACAATTGGGGTCCAAATGAGATTTTTATCAATTACTTGTATTCAGGATTTCTGGTAGCAAATGGAAATCTGTCTATCCTAAGCAATGCTGCTGTGCTCACAGAGATAGGCCTTCAAAGAGGTACAATAATCAGTGTTGTGGAACCCACTTAAAAGAACCAGCAAATGAGTGGTGATAGTGATAGAGAGTTGGTCGTACAATTTCCAGGAGAAATACTTTGGAATTCTTTCTTCCCAAAGATTCTGTTTATGAAACATTGCCATTTAATATGCTGAAATTTTAGTTTGTCTTTCCTTATAATATGTAAAGTTGCTCAGTGCCTGGAACATAGTAGGTGCTTAATAAATGTTTATTGATGGATTGGTTGATTGAAATGTATCATAATGTTTTTCTTCTGTTCTGTTTCATCTTTCAGTATTCTTATACTGCTTTCCTGCCATTTCTCTTCTTGGCCTCTTCCCTCAGATCAACACTTTCTGCACTTATCTCTTAGAACAAATTGATATGCTGATTTTTGGTGGTTCTGGTAAGTCATTTAGTTTCTTTTTCTCTAAAGAGAAGAACCTGAGGTTAATGAGAAGAAAATAAACCCTAAAACAGAGAGTGAGAGATTGTTAGGTGTATTTAGTGGCTCCCCCACCAAAAAAAATGGTTTGTTTACCTAGATCAAGGGTTCTTAACCTGAATCAATAAACATACACACACACACACACATACATACATACATACACACATACATACAGGTGTGTGTATCTCTGCATATGTGTATGTTGTATACATAATGTATATATGTAACTGTATTTCAATGTAATTGGTTTTCTTTATAATTCCATGTTTTTATTTTATGCATTTAAAAGCATTATTCTGAAAAGGGGGCCTGTAAATTTCACCAGGCTGCCAAAGGGGTACAGGAGACAAAAAAAGGTGAAAAACCCTTGCTTTTCACGACTAATTCAAAGTGACTCATTCACTTTGACCCCAGGACACCACCAGAGCATAAGTGAAGTGCAGACTTGTACAAACTTTGAAAGATCATTGCTAGAGCTATATTGACGCTTTAGATAATCTCATTGTATATACCCAGAGCTGTCACATGGTACAGTAGTTAGAGGGCTGATCTTTGAATTGGGAAAACCTGCATTCAAATCCTGCCCCTGACAAATACTAAGTGTATCACACTGGGCAAGTCACTTAAGCTTTCTCAGTTTCCTTATCTATAAAACAATGAGATTTGACTTGAAGGTTTATAAGGTTCCTCCTAGTGGAAGCCTTTGAGTCAGGAATACTTGGGTTCAAGTCCTCCCTTAGTCACATACTAACTGTGAGATCATGGACATTTAGACTCTCAGTGACCCAAAAAACTTTCTAAAGACAGAATTTGAAGGCAAAGGATCTAGGATCAAATCTCATCTCTAACACTTACTACCTATGTGATCTTGGGCAAGAGTTTGTACATCTGTAAAATGAAGGGATCAAATTAGATAACTCTGAGGTTCCTTCTAGCTCTACAACTATGATTTTATGACCTCTAAGATCCCTGCCAGCCTCAAATCTATGATAGTATGATTCCAAGCTTCAGAAGAATCACCAATATACATTGGCAGAAGAACCTCTGGGAGTTCCCCACCACAGTTGCAGCACAACAATCAGAAGATACCTCTCTGACGTTTGCCTCACTCTACCGTTCCTCAGGGCTTACTCTCTAAATGCCAAGGACTTACTTTATTGATGCCAAACTTAGTATAGATCCTCAATAGGCATAGCCCATGAAAGATTCCAGCCTCAGCCTCTCCAGTGGCTGAGATTACAAGCCTGTGCCATCAAACCACCAAACATGTAAATTGTCATTAAGTTCCCTGCCACCACTGAGTTGATAGATTATACCTTGCCCTTTGTATTGATATTGCTTCACCCTGGGCTTCTCTCCTGGCACCCACCCTCATCTTCCCCCAAATCATTGCCATTGCGTATATTTTGATAGTTCTTATTTACCACCTGCTGCCTTCTTGTGTCTTAAGAGGTTTGCTAGCACAGACAGGGAGGCAGATCTAGGAAGGAGCTCACTGGCAACGTTTGTGTTTCAGCCGCTGCTGGCATCCTCTCTGCAATCTATAGCATCTCTCGAAGTTTTGCAGTTGCCCTTGTGCTCTATGCATTCTGTTTCACTGCTGTAAAGGTAAGTGTGAAGTTGAAAGAATGAGAAAGAATATATGGGCTGAATGAGACATACACCTACTTGACCAGTGTTCTTGTTGCCATATCAATTTTGGATTTTCACTGGAATGTAACAGATTGCTTTTGGATGTTTGGCATGTTAATGTTTCTTAAAAGACATACAGGGAGCAGAATGGGGTAATGCTCTTTTGGAAGTGATGCTAGCTTTTCCTCTAACTAGTTGGGTGACCTTGGGCAGGCACTTCACTTTTCAAAGTCAGTCATTTTGTAGTATTCATTGTTGTAGTTGTTCAGTCATTTTTCAGTCATATCCAACTCTTCATGACCCCATTTGGGGTTTTTTGGCAAAGATACTGAAGCAGCTTGCAATTTCCTTCATATGCATATACATATATATGTGTACATATGTATAGATGTATGTATATATATATATATGTATATATATGCATGCATATATGTGTATTTGCCTGTATATTCTATGAGGGAGCTAGGTGACAGTAAATATAGGTATATATATAGGTATAGGGATTATGCATATATATGTGGGCATGTCCATATACATACATACACATAACAGAATATATACATGCATGTATATAATTGTATGTATTTCTATACATATATATAACAAAATATTTTATGCATGTGTATATGTGTATGTGATGTCCCAAATACCTTTCAGAAAAGTTCTAGAAGAGGGAAGGATAGTGACATGACATGGATCTATTCACTTTGAGGTTCATTTACTGGGGCAGTACATCCATTATCAACTTGGTCTCCTGTATATTTGCTGCATTCATATTTGTTTGGGAGAACAAGTCATGTGTTTAAATGTCCTCACATAATCCAGTATGTGTCTGTTTAGATTCATACCCTCCTTTTGCAAGCCTGGGGGAAAAATTATTCCACTTTCTCTAGCTTCTCTGAAATGGTACAAAACAGCCCCAACAAGTCCTATTTTCCACAAGATGTTGTGAGGCAGCATTGAGTAATGGCTAAAAAGCCAGTCACAAAGTCAAGATATACTTGATTCAGTTTCTGCCTCTAACAACTGATGGCTGTGTGACCCTAGACAAGTCAGTATAACATCTCATTGTCTTGGCAGCTCACTAAAGCTATGAGTTGTAGAACAGTAGCTTATCTGCTTCAGTGGAGAGAATTCCTTCACCAAGTGATTCCCAATTTCATTGTTTTTCAGTCGTGTCCAACTGTTTGAGACCCCATTTGGGGTTTTCTTGGCAAAGATACTGAAGTGGTTAGCCATTTTCTTCTCGAATTCATTTTATAGATGAGGAAACTGAAACAGAGTTAAATGACTTGAACTCAGGAAGATGAGTCTTCTTGACTTCAAACCTGATGTTCTATTCACTGTGCCACCTAGCTGCCAATTTTTGAAATTGATTCTATTAAAATGTAAGCTTGAGAGCAGGGAACATATTTTTTCCTATCTTTGTATACTTAGCATTTAACACAGTCACTAGTACATTGTAAATGCTTAATAATGTTTGTTGACTAACAATATCAAATCACAGGTCTATACCAAAGAATAATCCACTTGCTGTGATTCAAGAGCATTTATATTAGCAATGTCAAAGTACAAGGACTACTGACTTCATTGATGATATTATCTGGTTTTACTTTGATCTGAACTTCCAAGTGATTCTATTCAATAAGATTTTTATTGAGTGTCTTTTGTCCATCAAATATAATGTAACACTAAGTTAGATACGGACTGTGTGGACGGAGGATGGTAGAATTATAGATTTAAGCTGTACAGCACCCTCATTTTCCATATAAGGAAACCAAGACCCAGAAAGGGAAAGTGGCTTGCCTGAGGTCACTAGGATAGTAAATTAAAGACAGGATTTTAATTGATGTCCTCTGACTCCAGAGATGGAGCTTTTTCCATTTCACAATTTGGCTTCCATACATATGGAAAAAAGCATGGTATGGTCCTTGCCTTCATTACAATCTCACTGAAGAGACTGAACTTCCAGGCAAGAAATCATTAAAGAATCATTAAAGACTACATATAGTAAGGTACCTAATGCAATGTAATAAATGCCCCAAATAGATGGGCTGCATTGTAGCCTGGTGGATGAGTTCAAGCTTTTATGTGAGTAGATTAAGTCACTTCTGTTTTTACATACCTTCACTTCCTCATCTGTAAAATAGATGCTGTTTTTATTTCCCAGTGTTCCCAAAAGGATTAATTGAATGAATGTGTGTGAAGTGTTTGAGTTCCTCCGAGAGAAGGGCTCTTTAAATGCAAGGTATAATCATGAAGACTAGGGTTATTGCCAGGTATTTTTAATTCTAGTCAATTGTCCTCTAATGAGGCCCTTCAGTATTTCCATTAAATATCTGGAATGCCAGTAGTTTACAAATTCAGCCACAGTTAGCACTGTGAAAAGTCTGGCCTACACTAACCATCTTTGGTCAGTGCCTCAGTCTGCCATGTATAGGGAGGGAAGGATGGGCAGGAAGAAGAATAGATTTCCTAAAGGCACAGAAATTCAAGAAAGAGAGGTAAGATTGGTGGGAAACAGGAATCCTAAGCCTTAAGTATGGACCAAAACGGAAAAAAAAAAAAACCTATATGGGAGGCTATCATGCAAAGTACAGCTATGAATTTCTGGGACTTTTCTTTCTGTCTTTTACTTCCTTTGAGTATATGCCCAGTAGTAGGATCACTAAATCAAAGTGTACATGGAGCTTAGTTACTTTTTGCTAATTCCAAATTGTTTCCCACAATAGTGGGACAGGTACATAGCTTTGCTAAGGACACTTGATTTGTCTTTCCACCCACAGCATTTACTATTTCTATCTTTTATCATTCTGCTACTTTGGGGAGTGTGAGGTAAATTTTGAAAGTTGTGTAAATTTCCATTCCTCTTATTATTAGTTACTTGAAACAATCTTTCGTATTATTATTGACTGGTTACAGCTATTCTTTGGAACACAAGTTGATATCATCCTTTTCTTGATCAATATGACTAGAACATAGGGGGAATCAGGTGACATAGCTTTGGAAATAAAGGTCAGATTATGAAGGGTTTCAAATGCCAGACAGAGGAATGTATATTTGATCTTGTACATAATAGGAAGTCACGTAAGTCTCTTGAGTAGGAGAATGACATGGTCAGACCTGTGTTTTAGGGATATTAAATTGGCAGTTGTGTGGAGGAGGGACTGGTGAGGAGAGAAACTGGAGGCTGAGGGACCAATTAAGAAACTATAGCAATTATTTCAGGTGCCAGGTAAGGAGGTCCTGGATTAGAGTTGTGGCTACATAAGTACAGAAAGGGATAAACATGAGATTATGGATTTAGGATAGACAAGATGACGATTGATTGGATATGGTAGCTGAGGGAAAGTGAAGAGTTGAGGGTAATTCTGAAGTTCTGAAGCAGGGCAAAATTGTAGTGTCCTTGATATAAACAAGAAAGTTAGGTGGAGGGCCAGGTTTAAGGAGAAAGATGGGTTCTATTTTGGGCAAGTTCAGTTGGAGACATCTATAGGACAAACAGATATGTCCAGCATGCCATCGGATGGTTAATCTGATGCATTAATCATATGCTATCTGACAGACATGGGATGCAGATATAAGCAAAAAGGACAGTCCATACTCTAAAGGAGTACTTTCCAATGGGAGAAAACAAAACAGAGGGGAGATGGAAAAAGGGAAGAGAGGAACTGGAAACCAATTGGGGGGAATGGATAAAGAGATGTTGGGTACCTAGGGGCAAGGGCTGGTGGGAAGGGAGTAGGGAAGTCCAGAAAGTGAGGAGTAGAACCCAGAGTGAAGTGAGGCCAAGAATGAGAAAACATTTTGCCTAAGGTTACACTTAAATCAGAGTGAAGATAAAAACCTACATCCATAGGCTTCAAATCTACCTTTCTTTCCACTATATGGTGCTGCCCCTCATTATCTGTTGTTAAAATATCTTGATAAGTTATTCTTAGATGTGTTATATATTTTGTGTTTATTTTGATTGGAATTTCTCTATCATTTACTCCTTACTTTAGAAGCTATCCCATTCAATTCCCTCATTTTACAGATGAGGAAACTGAGACTGAGAGGTTGTATTTTGCCCAATGTGACACAGCTAGTACGTGTCTGAGGTAAAATTTAAACTCAACTTCTCTTGACTAAATCAAGTGCTCTCTGTTAGTGCCATGTAGAAATTATGCCCAGTGATCTGCACTGGGAACCTAAACAAACAATACTCAGCACCTCTAGAAAGTCAAGGATACATACATGCATATATATATATATATATATATATATATATATATATATGTATGCATTCTCTGTAATACATGCACACTCATGAATACCTATATAAATACAGAATGCACATATGTATATTATATATACATGTATGTCTATATGCATATATGTTTATATATGCATGTGTGTATCATGTGTTCTTTACAACACACTTATACATATGTGTCTATACATCTATACATACAGATATACACATATATATCTAAATGCATATATGTGTGCATTTTTATAACACATGTCCACTCACATACATACATGCAAAAAACATTGTAATTTCTGGCTAAGAATGCAAACCAGACAGCAAAAAACATAAGGAGAAAAACAAAGGCAAATAAAAGAAGAAAAAGAATACCAAACAATCTGTTAGTTTTTCTGATTAAAAAAAAAAGGTCCTGGCAGCTGGTGGTGATGATGAAAATGTGCTGCCAAATGTCATGAGATAACTCTGATTGCCGAATTTTTTTTTGTCATCAAGAGACAATCAGCTGTCATCCAGAGCAGAAAGAGAGAGGAAGAAACAGGAGAGAACAGTAGCTCTGAAAGTATTCCACAATTAGAATAATGCTTTTCACCACTCAAGCTTGTGGCCTAAACTGATAATGGAGTTGATTTCAGCAAAATAAGATGTAATAAAATAGTTCTGGCTGGTGGCCAGATTCAGTAAGTATTTGTTAAGCACCTATGGTTTGTAGAACAATGCTCTAGGT